AATGCCCCTATCACTATAATGGAAGCAGAATGCATGGCGCAATCCAAGAGGTTGTTAAAACGTCGAACCCTTTAACTTCCACCCTTTACCTGATGGGATTCTAGGCTTCTTCAATGATTGACCCATCTGACTTTACCATATGTCTGGGAATTAGTTGGTGGACGCCTTTCTAGAACGCCCCTCCACATTCTCTTTCGTATTGACTTTTCTCTGGAAAATTCGAGGTGAGGAAAAATGAGAAGGTAATCAATTTCAATGTTGAAGCTGAAGCAGGTCATACTAGAGACAGCATAAGAAGGGTGAATCGTAGTGAACAATTAGTTTCCCAAATATTGAAAGAATATATCACTACTATTATATTTACTTGAAATTGATTAATCGAAAAGAGATAGTTTCGTGATAACAATGAAACATTTAAATTCAAATAAAAACCGAGAAAATTAAATAATACTATGAAAGAGGCTGGGGCTTAAAGAGGCACCAAAAATTTCCAACGCATAGGACCTCCATTAATCCGAAAATGATCCAAAAACTTTTGCAAATATATTTCTTTCTCATATTTTGGTGCTTAACACGTTCGTTAGCGGTCAATACAACAATTAGAAAAATGGATAGTTACTGTGCTGCAGTTTTGTTTTCAGTTTTCCTTATTGCCACGAGTCATCCTGAAACAATTAGCTTCCTTGCGTATGCTTTGAACTTTGCTGAAGAATTTATCTGATTCGATCTTGTGTATACATCGGGAAAGTTCAGTTTTCTTCACGTCCGATCCAGCGACAAGATGCGATCTCGCCGTTTTGTTTTCGCTTTTCCCTCGGCTTCTCTTAATACCATCGCCTTTCATGACTGTCATAACTACTACCTAAAGTCTTTTCCTTCCAGAGGTTCCAGTCCCAGAAGAGCTTCGTTCCCATTGCGTGCATTTAGGCGCAGATCATCAGCCAGCTATGTTTAAGAAGGTAAGATGTTTGCCGTTTCAGCTCTTGTTTAACTGGTTCACTCATAATATAATGTAGTGTCATTTAATAGAAAGGCGGACTGAACTGAATTGCAAATGAAAATTCGGCCACATTTCATGAAAGTATGCTTATGGCCAAAGCAGTGGGAAAAGTGCCCGGGACGTATGCCCCTACCCCCACTGTGACTCATGGCCCCTGCGATCAGGGTACAGCATCGTGAAATCGTGATGCGTGAGGTGGTGGTGTCAGTAAGACATCCTCCTTTCCCAACACCTGACTACCACTTTCCTACAAGTTCACAGCTTCCTACCAGTTTTTCACCCGAAAATGTTCCGTCGGGCGGGCGGGGGAGGAGGGGGGGGGTATACTGATGTGAAACGGGAAAAACCGCGAAAAGTCAACAATCGGGAATTTTTTTTCTTTTTCTCGACGCGCAAAGTCTCTCTCAAAGGCACAAAATAGCAACCGAATACGACTCCTCCTCCCCAGCGGCCGAGTACGACCCCTCTCCCCCCATGTGTTTCACACAACGATGCTGCATCCTGCTTTCGATGATCCACGCTTATGAGTAAAAGTCTTAATCTTGGAAACATTTGATTCCGACTTGATCACATGCTTTGCTGGGCTCACCCATCTTCGATGGCAAATTGCGCGCGATCAGTTTGAGTGAAGGCGACCATTTAACCCTTCTTCTTCAGCATCTCATAAGTCATATCGGAGCGCAGAAATGAGGAAGGCTAAGCGATTAGCCTTAGTCATTCCTGCCTTCTGACATGACTTTGAGATGCAATCAACTTTACGTCTGTTTTTGTCCACCAAAACGGGTTCGCCTTTAATCAGACGTTTCGAGAAAAGCTAGGATGTTGATGGGGTAAGGGTTGACCATATCAGGTGGTACGCCTATTCAAAATTTTACGAAAATCGTTTGAATTTGCAGTGAGTCTTAACGATGAATATTGATCATATTGACCAGGGGATAGACCGTTTAGTGATAAGTATTGATTCTGTGGGAACAGGTCCATTTTGTCAACATGGTTGGGATGCAACTCAGTGTTTTGTAATACGTGGCAATTGGTCAAAGCAGGGAAAAGTTCCTCATTTACTGAGGCCGTGTTGAGCCATATGGTGCTTCCACAGAAAAGCCGAACATCTGGCTACTCCTGTGGAGACAGTGATCGATCAATACCGCGCGTGGAAAAGGTATTTTCCATTTTATTTCCTTAGTGTGGATTAAACTATACAGGTAGGGAGCTAATAATGTGGTAAGCGTGTCCTTATAATTGTGCCGTTGCCCTCCCTATTGCTGGAAGAAAGCCTTGACTCTCTTATGGTCTTGATTTCAGTACAAGCCCGTTGACTTACATTATGTGCCAACTCTTACGAGTTAACTGTAAACTCATACGGAGAGCATCATTCCAGAGTGGTGGGGGGTATTTAGTCGCTGAAGATAAGGAGTCATATTTGCCTATGCGAAAAATGTTTTTGGTTGTTGACTTTTCTCGGTTTTTCCCTGTTTCAAGTGCGGTGTGCCTCTCCACTCCTCACCTCGGCAGGAGTCTCTTAAGGGAAAACTGGAGATTGGTAGGTGAAATACTCTGCTAGTTTTCGCGCTCACAGCGAAGTGGACCTCCTAAATAACACTACCCAGTGCTGCGTCACCGACTTTTCCATATCGAGCAAGCTGCACCAATTGCGCTGACCTTCAATTGCATGAGATCTAACTTTTAAAGAGGGCTTATTTCGGTGTGGGAATCGAGGGACCTTTGACATATTCACTTCTTCCAGAGTCTGCTCTTTTTACTTACTTTGACCGAATCGAATAACTTCTGGAGGTAGGAAAAAAAGAAAAAACATTCAACGGAACCTTGTGATTGCTGCACTGGCAAAGAGTTATACAATTGATGGGTTTCCCACATGCTTCTCCACGCATCCTTTTTCAGGTCGAACGTATCACATGTGTTGGAGCGGGCTACGTGGGTGGTCCCACATGTGCGATGATTGCTTACAAATGCCCCGATATTCAGGTAGATTTCAAATTCATTTTGGGGTCAGTGTTCTGTGAAGGCCAACTGGCACCTTGGCTGGGTAGAGTTCATACTCTGCTCGTCTGCGTCCTCTCTTCCCACTGGAAAAGTGGTTTGTGGATGTCGGTTGGGGCCGACGAGGGCACTGATAAGCAGTAAAAAGACTCGATTTTTTGTTACAAATCGCTCAAATTGTCGATTCTCAGGTTACAGTGGTCGATATGAATATGGAGAAAATTCTGCAGTGGAATTCCGACAAACTGCCGATCTACGAGGTTTAACTCTAAATGACGATTTTTTTTCGTGTACCTTTGATTATCGCAGTTATAGCCCGGCTTGGACGAGATCGTGTTCGCAGCACGCGGTCGAAATCTACATTTCGTCACTGATATTCCACGAGCGATTCATGAAGCCGATCTCATTTTCATATCAGTGAACACGCCAACGAAGATGTACGGTAGAGGCAAGGTGAGTCAGTTCCAACCTTACGGCTGCGTTTATACTTTGCGGCAGCGTAGCGCTTCCAGCGTACGCCAGCGGCAGTGCTGGGGAGAGGATGCATATCGATCTAGCGTTCCCAGCGTCACCACGCTAGCGTTACGCCAGCGTTTCTCCAGCGTTTCACCAGCGTTTTGCTAGCGTTTGCAGCGGCAGGGAGTAGAGACTATGGGAGAGCTGGAGGGTACAAAACACATCGATTGCGCGTCTCTCACTCGCCCTCAGTCTCTACAATACACATCGATTCCGCGTCTCTGACGGCCACATAGTCTCTACCATACACATCGATTCTGCGTCTCTGACGGCCACATAGTCTCTACTCCGCCGCAAGACGATTGCAATAACGCCCCCCCCCCGGCGAAACGCTGGAGAAACGCTGGCGTAACGCTAGCGTTGAACGCTGGGAACGGCTAGATTATATGGCATCCTCTCCCGAGTACTGCGTGGGTACGCTGCCGCCAAAGCCATAAACGCAGCCTATGAGCACGAGTTGTGTGCGACGAGGGTGTGCAAGACGTACAGTCATGGCACGTTCTGCCGCTGGGGAAATTTTGAGAGATTATGACCCCCTGCGCTCTCCACCTATTTTTCCGTTTCTAGTTTCTCTGATTTTGCCAGCCTCCTATCACAGTTTCGGAAATTTCACGAAAATTTTCAAATTTTTCCTAAAATTGTATCGCCGAACGGAGGAGGTATGT